ACGAGGGCTAGCATCTTTGGTTTTCTTTTCAGTCGGAGGAGGAGAAGGAGAGGGAACACTTTCATCAGCTTCTTCTATTGTATCACTAAGAGTTGGACTCTTAGGAGATATGGAAGATTTGGGAGGAGCACTAATTAGAGAAAGTACAGGAGAACAAAAATAAAATTCATTAGTAGTTTATGTACAATAATACAGCACATCCATATTTTTCAGTCACATGATTAATTTCATGTACAGTATACATCTGTACACATACATGTGCATATACATGTATGTACATGTACTTTACCTGTGTGATTTAGGTTTTGAGTCATTAGAAATGGTAAATGTCCTTCTAATGGGGCCAGTCTCATCAAATTAGTCTGTGAGGGTTGTATCGCTTGGATCTGATTTCATGGAGCTGGAGAGGTCATCTCTGGAATTCTTGAGAGGGGAAGTAGAACTGGGAGTGTCTCCAATACCAACAAAGTCTATTGGTGTGGTGAATGAGCAATCTTTTCTTGCTGTGATAAGAAGAGTGAAATTAATGATAACAGCATTCTCACCTCTCCCTCCCTCTCTCTCTCTCTTTCTCCTTCCCCCTCTCTCTCTCTTTCTCCCTCCCTCTCTCTCTCCCTCCCTCTCTCTCTCCCTCCCTCTCTCTCTCCCATATCTACCTGTATCTCTCTCACTAATTCTCCCCCTTCCTTTATATGGAATTGCAACAATACAGCAACAGATTGATTTGTGTTATTTTAGGAACTAGCAGTTAACACAAACACATTGTACTCATTACCATACATTGTATATCACAACATACTGTACACTGTACCTACTATAAACATATAGTGCAGATACTGTACATGTATATGTACATACACACAACCTTCTAATGTAATGTTTCCATTGAGTGTGACGATTAAGGGTCAAGTGCACACTGAGTTATAATTGCCAAATAGGATGCTCTACTATGCCAACAAAATTATGGCAAAACAGTATTTGTGTTAATGTGTCAGGGACGAACCATGCGTATGTGTAAAGCACTGCAAGAAATTTGAAAACAATGAAAGCCGTTGTTAAGCAGTTTAAGTAATTTCAGTTCCATTAACTGGACTAAAAAGAGCTAGGCATACAGACATATATTACCAGTCACTCAATGACCTCTCCCTTTCTTTCTCTTTCTAGTTTCTCCACAAACTTACCATCCCAGCATTTTAAGAGCTCCTCTTGAATCAGCACACCCTTCACATTCTCTCCTAGCTCTGCCACAGCAGCTCCACCTGTCCTTATTAGTCAGGCCATACACTCCAGGATGATGCTTTAAAAGTAACTCATTGCCTTTATCAATGGCAGCTGAACAACAAGAAAAATATACACATAATAGTAGTACACAGGAGAGATCAGTTTCAAGAAATACAATGAGAAGAGAAGAGGGAGAGTTGAAAGAGGTTCATACCCATGCGAAATGCCTCCATCCATTCATTTCTTTCTTGTGGAGACTTGGCAGCAAAATACATAACTTCAATTAGATCTCCAATCTAACAAGATGAAATACATGTATGACGGAATATAATACAATGACAGTACAAGAATACACACATTTATTACAATATAAAATAAATGTAAACAATAGTGTAAATTCAATTTATAATTACATTAAGATTAAAAAGAGCATGACAAACTAGCTAGGTCATGTGTGAGTAAATGTACAAACATGCCCTTGTGCTAAACGCCAGTGGTGCAAAGCAATTTTAAAGAGATAGAGAAAGATGCAGTGAGGACAGACAAAACACCAGAAATAACTCATCTGTTTTTTCCATCTTTCTTGTTGTATGTTGTAGCTTCTTTATTTTGTAGGGATCTCTCTTGCTGTGCATGCTGACACTGTTCATTTTTACGGTTTTTATAATTATAAGAACAATAATAAAAATTAATAATAATATATATCTAATAAAAAAATCTTGATCATTGCTGTGCACATCAATTAAAAAACATAAAGTTGATGTGGTGAAAATCATTAGCAAAGTAAAAAGTGAATGTCCCTATTATGATTGTGGCTTGTCAGTTCACAAGGATAAATATCTACATGTATAACTGGGTGGGCCTTAGTCATCTCAATTCATATCACTTTTCTATTCTTAACCCTTAGCATTTCTTTATATTCAGCTTCTGGTTCAGGATCATGCTTTCTTTTCTGTCCCTTCAACCCACCTCCTCTTCCTCCTCCTCTTTCACCTCCTCCTCCTCCTCCTTCACCTCCTCCTCCTCCTTCACCACTTCCTCCACGTATCCAGTCAAGGCCAGTTCCATCATCACTCATCCCGTTATCTTTCAGTTCCTGAATAAATAAGTTCGCTAAATTCTTGTATTTGGGAGTCTCTTCGTATGAAAGTTTATAAATACATTCCATGTATTCTTTAAGATATTTCGGGTATGCTTTTCCTTTGAAGCAATCCTTAATCAGATTAGTCGGAACATCTTTATACCTAAAGAGAACAGTATTAATATCAGGGACAGGGTTTCCCACAAAAGCACACTAACTAAAAGTGAAATAAACAGCATGCTTCATGAGCCACAGTAGTACATGCAACTTTTAAAAATTCATAAAAAACAATTTTGATCAAAGACTGAAGTGTCTCTTGTACATGTAGCTGCACTATTGCAATAAATGATGTTTCATCAAATAATGATCACTTTAATTGTTAACACTTTCAAGACTGCTTGCCAAATATGGTAAAACTAGTACAAGCAAGTAAAGTCAACTTTGTTATGGCAATGATTTTGGGTAATATTCTCCATGCAGTGGTATAGGATTTCTAACCAGAGCCTGAAATTACATTCAAACAACATTCACACATTGTGTCTCAGCATTGATTAATTTGATCTGTCATTTATAAAACAGTTGTACAGGGTTTCCCACAGGATTTTGGCATAGCTAGTGGTATTGCAGCTTCTTGTCAGTGGATTGTCAACTTGCTCAAAATTGGGAACAAGGCAGGATAATTTGACAAAAATAATAAAAGAGAATTACTCCATTTTCATAATTTTTTTCTGATACAAATACATGTTCTTATGTAGTGTAGAACATTTGAGCAGATTTCAGTTAAATTTGGATTTTTAAAGTGCTCAAAAATTAGGCCAACAACCAAAGGCTATACTATAGTCTTGGTTTGCTCTAAAATTACTCCAATTACATTTCCTGACACATATTGATGTCCTTATGCTGTGTAGAAAGTTTGGCTGCAACCACTTTAAGAAAATTCCAAAATTCTGAAAATACTCAAAGATTGTAGCCTTTAAAAATTGCTAGGATAAATTTTCCATTCAAAAAATTTTTTTGAATACAAATACATGTCCTTATGCTGTGTATCAAGATCAACTCTGAACTGATTCTGATTAAATTTGGATTTTTATGAATTTTAAAAGTTACTCCAAATGCCTTCTACTGTATTCTGGTCATGAACATGTTGTTTAGCTCAATTAGCATACATGTACTTCGTGGGAACATGATTAATTGGTCATCAAGCTAAATTGCTTTTAATAATGAATGCCATTATTTTTTTAAATTATGTTGTTTCGACAAAATGGTAGAACATACAACACAGAATGTGGTCAGACAGTTGAGCAAAATGGCCGAAAAATGTCGGACCGTCATTCTGGCTCTGCTTACTACACTAGTTTTCAGTACCCTTTTGTGTATTAATTCAATTTTTTCCCAATTCAATCCTACTGCTTTTCCATTTTAATGTTTTTTTAAATTTTGTGTAAAGCAGCATTTACATTGCATCAAATAGCCTAACTGTTTCTCTACTAACCAGAGATGCCAACATCAGGAGTCCAATTCCACTTTTTGGACATTTTTAATTTTATTCACATGTACATGTATTTCCCCCTGTTAAGAAATAAATGTCCAGGCTCTTATTCAAGGAAATACGGTAGTTGGAGTCTAATTGAGGCTTGCCCATGTTGGGCCCAATTAAGTGTTATTCACCAATTACCTTCTTTTCAAACTTGCTACCTTTGGCTTATCATCTATATAATCCTCCCATGGTAGTCTACCACAAGACCATTGTAACAAGCAGTAGCCAAGTATCTCCAGATCTCCTCTGCGTGATGGACCTACAAATAAGCAATCAATATAAGTAGAGATTTCATTATATTTACTAGCTCCATCGTGTGCATCAATGCTTGTGAACTCAATAGTGCCATCGTGACTA